GCAGTTGCCCCCTCGCTGGCACCATTTCCCCCTCACCCACCCCCCATGGACACCGTTTTCCCCTCTGCTGTGCCTCACACCTCACACACCACCTCCCATCCTGCCCTGCGTGGAGGGCCCACCACAAACTACAACTCTCATCATGCTCCACTGCAGACTTCAACTCCCATCATGCCCCCAACACGGACTACATTTCCCATCTTGCTCACCGTTACCTACACTTCCCATCGTGCCTACAAAGGTCGTACAACATGCCAGTTGTACAAAGACTGGCATGTTGTGCCCATAGGTGTGCTCCTGCGGGATGCCTGCCATTGCAATTGCGAATAAAATCTGCTTTTTATCAGAGATACCGTCCTGACAGAAATTATTTGGATATTTCCAACACTCACACGTAGTTAACGGCCGGCTGTGAGGGATGAGGGCGGGCCGACACCACACTGAGGGAGACGGCCGCCATTACTCCACACACAAAACCCAGCTGTATATCGGCAACGTTGCCCTTTTTTCCTACAATAATTTACAGTGGCTCGCTTGCAGAGAAGAACTCAATTAACTACGCTCTCTTTTTTTTCTCTTTTCAGCGAATTTTCACCAAAAAACTCAAAGCTGTCAGCGGACAAGATGGCGGACGGCGAGGAACGAGCAAAATGGCGGCTGCGCGGGAAGCCGCACTTTCCGGCGGAGGTCGGTGTCACGTGACAGGAAGTGAGCTTCTCCACGTGACATGGCGGGGAGGTGCTGTGCGTCACGTGATAGACGAGCTTCTCGTCACGTGACGGGGGCGGTGCTGGGCCGGCGGAGCCCCAAATCTTTGGTCCCTCCCCAAATCCTTGGGACCCCCCCCCCAGAAAAGTTCCTTGAGGACCCCCCCCAGAAACCCCAGGGGTAAAGGAGGGGGAGAAAGAGAATAGAAAAAGAGTGGTTTTGGGGGTCCTGGGCGCCCTGACTTCCCCCTCCCCCTTTTAAGCATTAGGCCCCCCCAGAGGATTTGGGACCCCCCCCTCAGCGCTGCCACCATGGAGGAAGTGGACAAAATCCTGATCCATTCGCTGCGGCAAGTGGGGACGTGAGTGGGGGTCCTTGGGGGAGTGGTTAGAAAAATGGGGGGAGGGGGCAGAAAAAATTGGGTGGGTGTCCTGGGATTGGGGGAGGGGCGGGGG